TTAAAAGTTCCAAGTATAACAAATTTAATGGGTGAAAAAATTATATTTTTGCCAGGGAGGTTATAAAGGAAGTGACTGGAGGGCTTTACTCTATTAGTAATTCCTGAGAGACAGTATTTACTTAGAATGTTTTTATTCATTTTCACAATTTTCTTAAGTTTCATGCACAGTTTTTAAAATTTCTATAAATGAAAGTTTTCTCAATTTCTTTGTTCTTTTTAAAGCAGAGTTTAGTTTTTGTTGAGTTTATTTTTTTGCCTTCTAATCACACACACACATATTTATTTGTCAGTATATTTTCACCATCCAGGTTATAAAATAGAGTATTTTATTGAGTAAGGTTGGAGAGAAACAGAAGTGCTCATACATGTGGCTCTAAAGAGACAAAAACCCCAAACCAGACACACTGCCTTCAAGTCTGCTATGAGTCATAGCCGTCCTCCCCAGCCCCCTACTGGTTTCTGAGGCTGTATCTTTGTAGGAGGAGACTGCTCATCTTCTACCCACCAAGCACCTGATAGATTTGAACAACTCACTTTTCAGTTAGTGGTGTACACGTAACACTTCTTATAAAGACACAGAGAGAATAAGCAGATACAAATTCGCATGTACATTTCTTTCAGTAAGCTATTTGTAAAAAACAAAATAGCGTTCTGTTATTCTTAGTCCATTTTAAAAATAAGACATTTTTAAAATAAAAATTAGTAAACAATTTGCATATTTTTAAACAGAAATCAATTCCTTTTGTTGGGTAAAATATTAACTCACAGCTTTCAGAATTTTTTCGTTTGAGAACATTCCCTAAACCCATTATTAGTTACTCTCATCCTCTGTCACATACTTGAAACAGCTCTTGTCTCATGTAAAGGTGGAGAGATGTTGAGTCTTCCACTGCAATTTAAATCAGAACTATAACTCTAAACTGTTGTTATCACTGTCCTCTGACATTTTTTCTTGTGTACAACAAATCTGTCCTCTTGAAAAGCTTGATTGATGGCAGTAAGAGATATGTCATGAAGTAGATTTAAAGGGAAGAAAACCACATAGTTAAGTAAGTTAAGTAAATATCTGCTGTGTTAGCTTTGATAGGAAGCTCTGGCGAACTAGTGGCTAAGGACTTACACTCCCAAAGCAAAAGCAGGCACTTCGAATTCACCAGTTTCTCCGTAGAAGAAAGTTGGACTGTCCCCTCCCATATGATTTACTGCCTCTGAAAACTCACAGGAGGGTCAGCAATGAGTCGATTCTGACTCTGTGGCATATAGAAACATAGCTTTGAAAAACAACTAAAACAATCAGATGTGGCTGCTAACCAGGAAGTCAGTGGCCCAAACCCACTAGTTACTTCATGGGATAAAGGTGAGGTAGTCTCTTCCGATAAAGATTTATAACCTTTGGAAACACTATGGGCTACTCTGTCCTACAGACAAGGAATCAACCCAGTAGCAATTGTTTCTGTACCCCGTAGGCTGTATTTAAAATTAGTTTTGTGTGTCAAGGTGTTTTTAGAGAGAAGTTTTTAAGTAAGTACTTTAAGTACAGAAGTACAGTGAAGAGATGGAGAAATTGACTTCTGCTTTGATCAGAAGCATTGCTTACCGGGCACTGTTCTAGACTCCGGGAAGAACAACAAAAGCGCTATCCGGAGGCCTTCCTCTCATAGAGCTTTGGTTTTAGTAAGAAGAGGCAAGCAGTGATAATGTGGCAAATATGGAAGTGTGTGATGATTAGCAGGGAATTGGAAATTTTATGTATAGGATTATTTCCTATTTTACTTTTAGGGGGGAAAAATAAATCACTGATTGTTGTGTGAGAAGAGATTGGAAAAGGACTTAGACTAATAAGCTGGTGTCCCGGGAAACGGCTAGAATTTAGTTTGGGGAAGAAGAATTGGGGAAAGGGAGAATGGGAAAAACTTCGTAGTGCTTGAGATGAGGGAAGGAATAAGTGTCATGCTTGAGCAAATGGACTATATGAAAGCCATTTCTTTCTGATAGATTTTAAAGGATGAAATAATTAAGCAACTCGGCGGCACATAACAACACAACCAATTATGACACTAAAGACTGGACAAAATAGTTTGGGAGGAAAATGGGAATCAAGGATTTATTTGTGGGCATGATTTGAGATGGCTTGCAAAAAGAAAACACCTTTAATGCATTTGTCATAATGAATCTGAAAGAGTCCAGGCTGAGTTATAATGCCGAGAGTCACTGCATTAGGATGGTTGGCACTGCAGCCATGGAAATGGGTGGGGACTTGAGCCAGCACTGCCTTTGAGATACCCTAGGTGTTTACAGCATCCAGTTGAGGATGTGGAACTGAGAAATGAGTCTGAGCAGGAAAGCCTGAAGGCAGTTAATTTACAAGGAAAAATAAAAATTTGTCCTTAGTGGCCTCAGACCACACAGGCCTGGCGAGGCAGTCTCAACCACAGCCCCTGGTTGGCTCAGAAAACAGTCTTCACTTAATGCTGGAATATGAATCTACTGCATATATGTCTTCCCAGAAGAGGAGAGAAAAAGCTTTATCCTTTTGTACAAAAATTACTACACTGCTATGCATCCAAAGAATAAAATCATAGGATAAAGTCGCTGCTGCAATTCTAGAGCAAGATTTAAAGTTCCCCTAGGACAGATAGTAGCGTCTCAGAGCAACTGCTCTCTGTTCAGACTTGGTTAACAGTAAATGGGAGAACGATCAAGCTTAGTTGGCAGCCAATTTGCCTCTTAAGCTTTCTCTTGCAGGAAGTTAAAGTGCTGCACCATTGAGGTTTGGTTTGGTTTCCTCTTTTAGTTGAAATTAAATAGTACACTTAGATTTCAGAGGAGAGGAGAGCTAAGAAGAGAATAAACTCCAGATTTTACCCTTGGAAAAGGGTACAGAGAGGAATCTTAGGAACTCCTCTCTCCCCTCTGGTTTCAGTTATTTCACAGTGTGCACGTTTCTGCCTAATCGACGTTGCAGTAAATTCCACAAAGGTTATTTGGAGACTGTGCCATGTTTTGATAGATTAAAAACAGAATGACTTTATGTAAAATGAATTCCAGAAATCCTAATGTGTTTTACCGATGTGTGTATGACAGCTTCAGGGATCTCCTTTCCTGTCTAAATCTAGCTAATTGTTATCAAATTTATGCACTGGAAGGTGGGCTCTGACCTGAAGATGATACTATTAACTATATGAGTACTGTTTCTTTGAGCCTAAATTTTTAAACAACAATTAACCCTTAAATTATTTTGGAAGAGTAAAACTAGAGATGGGCTGGTGCTTTAATGAAGAAAATGTTGAAAAGTTTGGAAATGTTCTGCATAAAGTTGACCGCTGCTCCCAATTTTTCACTTTCCTTTTCTTTCTCAAAATATATTTCAAGTTCTTCTTCTGCAGTTTCAGTTCATGTTTCAGAAGTTTAAATAGTGGCATCTGTGAAGAAACCGTTGGAATTAAGACTTTTTTCTAGGGTAGTGTTGGTACCGCACATTCATGAATGTTGTGCTGGTCACTGAGGACCACTTGGCAGCTACTTAAACTACACGCATGAACTTCTTTGTCCTAAGGCTCTTCTTTTCTCTGATTTCAGATCTAATGTGGCAGTTCTATACTGAGGGAATCACACTTAATGCCCTCCCTGCTTGAATTTAGAAACTATTTCCTTTGTTTTGTAATATCTCTACTCGCCCAAATAGGAAATAATTGTATATATCATTGGTACTCTAACTCATCCCAGTATATCTGTATTTTTCAGTCACTTATCTCCTACCGACCTACTAACCGTTCTGCTGGAGAAAGATGTGACATTTGATTCTATAAAATTTTATAACCTAAAAAACACTATGGGCCACTTCTACTTGGTAGGGTTCCCAAGACTGTCATCTTGACAGAAGCAAACACATCTTTCATCTACAGAGTGACTGGCAAGTTTGAACCTTGGACCTTTCTTAGACACATGAAGCTCCTTGAGTGTATCATAAAACCAGAAGCCAAACCCTTTGCTGTTGAGAAAATTCTATCTCTGAGTGACTCTACAAAGCAGAATAGAACTTCCCTCATAGGATTTCCAAAGCCCGTGCCTTCGTGGCCAGAAGCTGTGCTGCAATCTGGAAGGCATGCAATTCCAGGCCACCAGCCGCTCTGTTGGAGAAGGATGGGCTCTTGTGCGATTAACTGCCTCTGAACCCGCTGAAGGGTCAGCTATGGGTCGGTTTTGACTCGACACTACACAACCAACCAACTCTGCTACCAGGGCTTCTTTACACTCACTCACTCATTCACTCACTCTCAATGGTGCCATGTGAGAACCAATCATAGCTCTTTGAGTATCCAAGGTGTGGGAGAAGCTTGGTCATCTTTCTCTCAAGGATTGAGATTTGGACTGGTGAATTTACACTGCCAGAGAGGCCTTTGGGTGTACAGCACAGCTCTCTATGGACTGTGCCACCAGATCTCCCTCCTCTGTACTCACAGCTCACCTCCAGAGAGTTTCCAGTTGTAAATGGGTCTGAACTATCAGAGAGGTACAAACTTTGGGCTAGCAGCACAACTCCTTAGGGACTAGGCCACCTTAACTCCCCAAAACGCATTGTCATCAATCAGAACAAACTCATAGCTACCTTCCATTGGGTTTCTGAGGCTATAAATAGCAACAGGATTTATCTCATCTTTCTTTTACGGAGCTGTTGGTGGATTTGAACCACCAGAAAGGGGCAATCTCTAAGTAGCTGCACCCCTTGGTGTAGCTATGTCACCAGGGCTACTTCCTTTCTACCAGAAGTTACCAAATATTGGCAAGATTGTATACAACAATGCTTTAATTTCACAAACAAAAATCTAATTCCCAGAAATGTAGAAAATAGAGAAGTGGGTTTTGTTTTTTTTTTTCAATTAGATCTTTTCTGAGGAGACTATGTTCATCAGATGGCAAACCACAGACAGTAAAGAAAAAAAATGTTCTCTAACTGAGGTTTACTGATCGTTTGTTCTTTTTCTGTTTTCTTTTTAGTGGCCACAGATGTGTTTAATTCCAAAAACTTGGCCGTTCAGGCCCAAAAGAAGATCTTGGGTAAAATGGTGTCAAAATCCATTGCCACCACCTTAATAGACGACACGAGCAGCGAGGTGCTGGACGAGCTCTACAGGGTGACCAAGGAGTACACGCAGAACAAGAAGGAGGCAGAGAAAATCATCAAAAACCTCATCAAAACCGTCATCAAGCTGGCCATTCTTTACAGGAATAATCAGTTTAACCAAGATGAGCTGGCACTCATGGAGAAGTTTAAGAAGAAAGTTCATCAGCTCGCCATGACCGTGGTCAGCTTCCATCAGGTGGATTACACCTTTGACCGGAACGTGTTGTCCAGGCTGCTTAACGAATGCAGAGAGATGCTTCACCAAATCATTCAGCGCCACCTCACTGCAAAGTCACACGGACGGGTTAATCACGTCTTTGATCATTTCTCAGATTGTGAATTTTTGGCTGCCTTATATAATCCCTTTGGAAATTTTAAACCCCACTTACAAAAACTCTGTGATGGTATCAACAAAATGTTGGATGAAGAGAACATATGAGTACATGAGTTAAGATTGTGACTGCTCGTGATTTATTTGAACATGGAGCACTGCTGATTTATGAAGGAAAAAAAATAATTTCTTAATGAATACACATATTTTCTGAAAGATTTTGCCAATTTCAAGTTGTCAAGAAGCATCAGTAATAGTGCTTTTATTGGCTTGGTTTATTTGAAGAAAAGCATGTTTCCAAAAATTCTAGTCAAAAGATTTGTAAACGGTTATCAGATTATGGGAACAAATACACGGGGTTAGATACTACAAATATAGTTAACCCAGAAAAATATGTATACTTCCAAGCCGCAAGACATTTCTTTTGTATTGGTGGCACATCAGATAATTCTAACATGTACAAAGTTACATATTTTGATTCATTTCTACTCTTGAGTGTGCATATGAACCACTTTCTAAAAGTCAACAGCTTGCTCTTGTTATTGCTTCTTTAGAAAATAATACATTTTCAAGTTTACCTCGGCCCTTTCATTAGAATTTTTATCACTGACATTGAAGAATTCCATCTGAGGCCATCAAATTGAACCCTCAGAAAAAAAACCAGAATACTACTTTTCTGCAATCGCTATTGCAGAAATGAACCATGGTGGATGTCATCAACAATGTCCAGTGTAAAAATATGCTTCTGGAATGGAGTGGTGTTTTAGAATGAAGTGATGATGCTTAAATATCCCCAAAATATGTTATTGCTCCAAACTGCTTGGTTAAAGCTTCACTTTCATGTTATCTTGAAAATGTGATAAAAATCTCCACTTTAAAAAAATGGAGTTCCAAATACAAGAGAGAGAGACAATCTAGATTGTCCCTAATATTGGGTTAATAAAAAAAAAAGATATTAGGAGAGAAAAAAAAATTTCATTTAGGGGGAGGAAGGGCAAAGGGATGAAAGGGTATTGCTTCAGAACTTGAGCATGAAAATGAATGCATTTCAAATGTTTCAGAAAGCAAATAAAGAATGTCACTTTTTTTTATTTAACTGATAAGGTTTTTGCTATTTTGTTACTTGTTGTTTTGATGAGTAAACCAAAGAATATCTACGTTTTAAGCAGTTTGTGTCGTTTCTATATAAGTGCATCTGTGTTAATGATAAAACTCATGTGAATGGGGGGTGGGAGAAGCTTACTTTGTTAAAAAATAGAAATCTGCAGGTCAGTTTTGTCATCTAAGAAATAAAAGCTCCAACTGCCAGCACTAGATATTTACCTTGCCATTATGTCTAAGGATCTCTTGTAAGGAGCTGCACTGCCAACACAAAGGCACATAGTTCAAATCTATCAGCATCTTTGTGGGAGGAAGATGGACAGTCTCCTCCCATACATTTAATGCCTCTGAAAACCTGATGGTGCCCAATCAACAGTATATAATGACAGCATGTCTATGCTTTAGTATACATTCACCTTAAACCTGCCTACCTCCCCAAATATTGACATTAATAGTTCACAAGGGCTGGGTAAAGGAAAGGGAAAAGATCCAGTGTGAAAAACGATGTATATGAACTTTGTAAGGTAACGATGATAAAATAATAGTTCACTAGTTTGGAAAGTCAGCCAGGAAATCAAAAGACAAATTGCATTGGGAAAATATGCTGTCAGGGACCTCTCCAGAGTACTGAAGAGCAACAGTATCAGTCTGGAGACTAAGATGCACCTGATCCTGGCCATAGTCTTTGCAGTTACTTGCTATGCATCACAAAACTGGACAAAGACTAGGAATGATAAAAGGAGAATTGATGATGCCTTTGAGATGTGGTGCTGGAGAAGAATATTGACTATACCATGGACTGCTAGGAGAACAAATGGAGTGTCCTGGAGAGGGTGAAACCAGGCTCCTCCGTGGAGGCAAGGATTCTGAAGTTCTATCTGATATACTTTGGGCACATTGCAAGGGAGAGGAACATCATGCTTAGGAGGGTGGAGGGACAGCCTAGGAGAGGAAGACCCTGGATGATATGGGCTGACTCAGTGACTGGGGTAACCAGGGTGGGCGTATCAGAGATGATGAAATTGGCCCAGGATAGAGCAGGGTTCAGAGCTCTTGTGCACAGGGTTGCTAGGAGTCGCAAACAATTCAAGAGCACTTTGGAAAGATCCCCAAAATAGAAATTCAAGGTTAAAATAGATTTAAACTACTGCAACCTAAAAGAAGTGGTTCGTCTCTTCTGTACCCCTCATTGCCTTGGTTAAGACGGGCAACAGAGACAGAAACTAAATTTTCACACCAAAATTTTGACTAAAACCGCTTTCCACAGGTTAGAACCAGCGGACAGTCATCGTAGAATCCTAACCTGGTGACTACAGGTATGACTTCTCGAGCTAGAGGAATTTTGGTGTTTAGGGTGTTTCTTAACAACCAGATAGAGAGAGGTGTGGAGTGTGGAATTATAGCAACACTTAATTTTGTGCAGAAGGAAGGCAGTGAGAATGTGTCTTAAAGAAAGGACTGCTATTTGCTGCATGTCCCAGTAACATCTGGAGGTATCTCATCTCCTTTCTAACTTCTAGCCTGGAAGACATGTCTTAGGAAGATCAATTACAAAATCATGATCAGCAAATTGATTTCTGATGTAGTATGATTCCCCTTGTGCATGAAATTAGTCAGAGGCAGGGTAGGAAGGAGGAGGTTAGGTCAGGAAGCTGGAAAGAATCCAAATATGCTTAGAATACGTGACTGAGCCAAGCCAATAGTAAATTTGAATCTTATGATTTTTTTAAAATTATGTCTTTCTCTATTTTGAAATATTGTTGATTTTACCAGTTTTGTGCAGTTGGCAAAACTATGAGTTATAATATGCAAATCATATGGTTAATACTAATACAAAACAGTTGTTATGGGTCATGCCCGTTAATTCAGTGCTGTTTGCCACAGTCTTTACCATTTTACACTCATTGCCATCATCAAAAACAGATCATAGCTGATCCTCCAGCAGATTTCCAAGATTGTACATGGGAGGAAACTGCCCATCTTTCTCCTGAGCAGTCACTGGTAGATTTGAACCACCAAAGAACTGTGGGCTTGGAGTTAGCAGCACAACTCCCTACAGATTGTGCCACCAGAGTTCTCATTTTACAGATGAGGAAACTAAGAGAAATTAGAGAATTTGCTAGAGGTCAAATAACTATTAGGAACTATTAGGTGGCAAAGCCATGATGTCAATGAAACCTTTACATTTTAAAGCAATCACGGCAAAAGACCATTTTTGAAACATCACTGATTCAAGAAAGGGTGGAAAGAATGCTACTGATAAAATTTTTCCCCATTGTGTTTCCTTCTAAAAACCCTGACACATGCTGCCCTGTGTGGTCTGAGTAGAACTGTGCTCCATAAGGTTTTAATGACTCATTTTTCAGCAGTAGGTCATCAGGCCTTTTCTTCCAAGAAGTCTTTGGATGGACTTGAACTCCCAACCTCTTGGTTAGCAGCTAAACACTAACCATGTAAAGCAATCAGAGTGATATTGTTAGTTACTGTTTTTTTTTATGCCATTGAGTATAATTCATAGCACCTTATGAATAGCAGATCTAAACCCTATCCTATCCTGTACCATCCTCATAATTTCTGACTTACTTCAGCCCATTCCTGTGGTCACTGTGTCAGTCCATCTGGTTGAGAATCTTCGTCTCTCTCACTGACCATATTTCCAAGGCCTCTCCTAACAACATGTCCAAAGTAAGTGAGATGCAACTATGATGTCATCATATGATGTCAGTGATCCTTGGAGTAGCTGAACTTTCTCCAAACATCTCTCCAAGACATATTGATTCTTTTGGCAGTCCATAGCATATTCAGTACCCTTCTCTAACACCACAACTCCAGGCATCAATTCTCCTTCTGCCATTCTTATTCCTTGTTCAGCTCTAAGATACATAGCAAGTGATTGACAGGACCATGGTCTGAATCAGGAACACATTAATCTTCAGACTGACATCATTGCTCCCCAGTAATTTGGAGAAGGCTGTGACTGCAGACTTTCCCAATGCAGTATGTCTCCTGATCTCCTGACTGCTGGTATCAAGGGTGTTGATTGTGGATCCAAGTAAAATAAAATTGACAACTTCAATCTTTTTCCATCCTATTGGCCCAGTAGTGAGGAACTTTGTTTTCTTGATGTTTAGATGTCATTCACATTGAAAACCATAGTCCTTAATCTGCTGCAGGAAATGTTTGCATTTTTCCTCATTTTCAGTAAGCCAGATTGTTTCTTCTGCGTAATGGAGATTATTAAGGAGTCTCGCTCTGATCCCAATACCACAATCTTCGTCAAGTCCAGTTTTTCCAATTATTTGCTCTGCATACAAATTGAATTGATGTTATGTGCCATCCAGTGGACTATAACTCATAGCAACTCAATGAACAATAGCTCTAAACCTTGCCCTCTCTGAGCCAATGTCACCATTTCAGGCACACCTGACTCCACTGCCACAGTCCATCTCATCCAGGGTTTTCCTGTCCTGTATTGACCCTCTACTCTTCAAAGCATGATGTCCTTCTCTGAGAACTGGGCCCTCCAGGCAACATGCCCAAAGTATGTAAGATGGAGTTTCAAATTTCTTGCCTCTAAGAAGCCACCTAGTTTAACCGTCTCCAGGACATATCTATTCTCTTGGCAGTCCATGGTATGTTCAAGACTCTTCTCCAGCACCACAACTCAAAGGCTTTCATTCTTCTGTCATCTTTAGTTACTCTCTAGCTCTCAAATGCATAGCAAGCAGTTGAGAAGACCATGGCCTAGATCAGGCGCACCTTAGTCTATAGACTGAAAGGCTACAACACTGACACACACCTTTCTTAACTTTAAACCATGCAGTATTCCCTTATTCTGTTTGGACAACAGCTGCTTGGTCTAGGTATCAGTTTTGCATGAACACAATTTTTGGATTCCTATTCTTTTGAATATTAGGGATAATTTGTTATGATCCACACAGTCAAATGCCTTTGTGTAGTCAATAATAGACATTATTCTGATATTCTTTGCTTTCAGCCAGAATCTA